AATACAACTGTTTTAGCTGAATTGGGAATGTACCCTATTGGTATACAGGCCCTTAAATCTTCTGTAGGATTTTGGTTACATATTTTAAATTCAAATGAAAAAGAGTCTTTATTATATAATGTTTATAAAGTTAACAAGCAGTTAAATGGTAGTTTTATTTCAAAAATTAAAATGCTACTATCTAAATTGAATTTCACTCATGTTTTGGAAAATCATTGTACCTTTTCTAAAAAACGATTAATTTTAGCCATCACAAAGAAGCTCAATGAAAATTAAATTATATTTTGGAAAAATTGTCTCTTTCATGATGATAATTCAATAAATGGAAATAAACTAAGAACCTACAGAAAATTTAAAGTAAAGAATGAACTTGAAAAGTACTTTTTATTCAATTTAGATAAAAATGTTACAAAAATATTTGCCAAAATAAGAATAAGTAATAGTCTGCTGGCTATTGAACGCGGTCGATACAATCAAACATCCTTAGAAAATAGAATATGTCCTTTATGCCATAAAGAGGTGGAAGATGAATTCCATTTTATTATAACATGTACAGAACTTAATAAACCTAGGATCAAAATGTTTAATGAAATTTCTAATATTGTCCCCTGTTTTAATTCAATGAGTAAGGAAAACAAATTTGATTTTATATTTTCTTGTGAAGAATGTGATATATTAATTATCATTGTTAACAGTATCAGTGAAATGTTTAATGAGAGAAACAACTATAATTTCAATATATGAACTGTGTATGATTGGTGACTAACATTATATAATGTAATATTTAATCAAGATATTTGAAATGTTAATTTTATAGAGGAGGCATGTTGTCAAAATAGTATTATAATAAATACTAATAATCTTTATTTTTTTCAATGCTACATGTTTGTATTGTTTTCTGTCTATCGTTTTATTATTTATATGTTTGTTTGTTTTTTGTTTTTTTTTGTTTTTTGTTTATTTAGTAACAATCCTATTGTTAGGCTTCTAGACTAATATAATTCTTATTCTTTTTCTTAAGAGCAAATTATTATTTATGTGCCTGTAATTGCTTACATCCACTTTAAATGAGATTATAAAATTAAAAAAATATATTTATAAACTAATAAAAAAAAAAAATTTAATCAGATTTCTATCTATTCATCTTTATCTTAATTTATGATAACACATTTTTAGGTTATAGTGAAATAAATATTTAAAATTTGAGAAAAAATATATCTGAAACTTTTTGATGCTTAATAAAAGAAAATTGTAATCAGATTGCTATCTATTCATCTAAGATATTATAATTTGATTAAGTATTCAATCCAAATATTTAATAATTATTTGAACAGTATTCTGCATCCGAGCTAGGATGTCAACTACTCAAGTTATGCTTTTGTAGAAAGTTCTCTTATCTTAGCCAAGCTTATTTTCATCTGTTTGAACACTTTTCACAATTCATTAGTATTATAAATAGACAGGTCTGTCAAATTCAAGCCATTCAAATAAAGTATAGCAAATACACAACTACAACCACTTCAGTATATTCAGAACAAGTTTGGCAGAGATAGTTTGTATTAGGAGGTATATTTTAGGGGAACTCCTAATTATAAAGACTTTATCATTGCCTTTATTCACATTCCTGGGAAGCGTCTGTCTAATTTCAGAAAATTATCTAAAAGAAATATAAAACAGAAACTTTAAATACATTTGGAATGGGAAACCAGACAAAGTTAAAAGAAACCTGATGATAGGTCCATATGAAAAGGGGGATTTAAAAATGGTTAACTTTTAAAGTTATTTTAATGGCTTTTAAAGCATCATAGGTAAATAGATTGGTAAATGGTAAATTTGCGACTTAGAAGCTTATTCCATTTAAATAGTTTAAACAGAATTCTGTCAATATTTAGCATGAATTTGAGCGATACTAAATCTCTAAAATATTTTGAAGATGTTCCGGAGTTTTATAAAGAAGTAATAAAGTCCTGGAATTTGAGTGGCCGGGAGGGGGGGGGGAGGGCAAACAAAACAACCAGATACATTTGTTGATATTAGAAAACAAATAATATGGGGAAATGAATTGATAAAATTTGGAAATAAACCAATTTTATTTGAGAACTGGATTAAGAGTGATCTGATTTACATAAATGATATCTTAGATGATACAATGTCATTATCGGAAATCTACATTCTCAACAAATTAAAGTTCAAAATAAACTGGATTGCTGAATTTCATATATTAAAAAATCTAACCCAGAAGAATGGATCCAAGTTGTTCAAAAAGAAAATTCGATTAAAATACAGTTAATATTCAGAGAAATAAGATGATATGGAAAATCATTATACTGAGACTTGATAATTAACAAATAAAATGTTATATAACTCTTTAATAAGTATACAAATAGAGCCATCAATAGGAATAAACAGAAGGCTTAGAATACTAGAAATACAAGAAACTCTAAATATGAATTCATTGTATCAATTTTTTTTTTATATCTGTGAATATCTGACTGAAAATAAGTTAAAAATATTTAGATGGAAATTATTGCAATATATTGTTCCAGCGAAAAACATTTATTGCAATGGAAAATAGCTAAGACAGATAAGTGTAATTTCTGTAACCAAGAAGAAGATTGTGCACACTATTTTCTATATTGTTCATATTTGAATAGATTTTGTCAAAAAAAAATATGACCTCTTTAAAAAAAGTAAAATATATTTTGTTATTAAATTACAACATTTTATATTTTTGGATACAAAATCACAGATAGAAAATATTACTTTTTGAATTATCAAATAACGATACTTAGTTTTTCTGTGTATAAGTCATATTATGTATTCCAGCAGAGAACAAAAAATGTTGACGTCTATAGTATTTTTGAAAATCAATTTAATAAGAGAGTAGACACAGATATATATTATTCAACATGTCTAATGTTATTGTCAATTAAAAAGAACTTTAGCAATACTTAATCTTTATTTAGGACACTTTTACATTTTTATAAGTTACTAAATTTAATCAGCTGTTTATTTCCCTGGATAATCAGTGGAGTGTAACAGGGTAAATCAAGAGAAGCTTGGACTCTTTGTGAGATTTGTAACAAGCAAGATTTGATGAATAAATAGTATTATGTTGTTGAAAAAAAGTATTAGGAGGTCACCGTTATAGTATTAAGAATAGACGCAACAATAACAGAATCTACTGGAGATGCACTGTTTCAACATGTCCAGCAACAATCAACACACATGAGGGACACCCGATTAAATTCGGTCCTCCACACAACCACCAAGCTAACCCAACCAAGATAGAGGTATCCAAAATCCTACAGACAATGAAACAAAGAGCTAAGACAGAGGTCACACCTATGCCAAACCTATACGAGGAGGAGCTTGTCAAACTCCGTAACCCAGATTGCACAGACGACACAAAACAGATTGTAGAACAACTACCAACATATTACTGAGTTAAGACTTCACGTCAAAGATCTCTAAATATATCCGTACTTCCCAAGACAACAGCAAACATCAATCGACAAATGGTGCCGGACTACTAAAGTAGATCAGTTTCTTCTACCCTCTAACAACATCAACCCACCAATTCTTATATTCCCAACTACAGACAACCTAGGAACACCTTGCTTCTGTTGGCACTATCTTCTGTGATGGGACCTTCTACTTATGTCCAGCTCTGTTCCACCAGATTTACACAATCCACGCAATGGTTGAGGGTGCAATATACCCACTGGCACACAGCTCATTACCAGGAAAAGATACGGACAAAACTACACAAGACTATTCAGTCATCTACAATATATATATCAACAGCACCAACTACTTCTTCAACCCAGCACCATATTCATCGACTATGAAACAGCCATGAACAATGCAGCTCATATTGTCTTCCCTGGTGTTCAAGTGTAAGGTTGCTTTTTCCACTTCACCCAATGTATTTGGTGAAAGACTCAGAAATGTGGACTGCAGACCTACTACAAAGAAGACGACGACATCACCAAGCTTGTTCGACGGGCAGCAGTCTTACCATTAGTACCCCAGGACCAACTTGAAGGTGTTTAGCTAGACACATTAGAAGAAATAGCTGAAGCAGAGAATGTTCCTGACACAACCACTTATACAGATTACGTCACCGAATATTGGGTTGAGACACCGCTTCCTCTTGAACCACTACCTGACTGAGGGACAACGCACTACCATTCACTTGGAAGGCTGGCACAGTAAAATCAAGAAGATGGTCCAACACACACACCCAAATATCTATGAGATAATTGAGGTGCTTCAGAAAACTCAAGCTTTCACTGAGTGTACCATCATACAGTATGTTGCAGGAGGGGCCCGTCAACCAAAAAGAAGCAGAAACAGAGAAATCGATGCAAGACTTCACGGACTGAAAGCTAAATATGAACAAGGACTTGTGGATGTGTTAGAATACGCAGATGCAGCATCACATCTTCTGCACTTAAATTAAAGACATTCTTGTACATAAAATTTGTAATTGTTTCCAATGTAATGTTTGCATATTATGTTTGATGCTTTAAATGCATTATGAATGATAAATTTCAGTGCTAATGATATGAATGTAATATTGACAATGTTAATTGTTTTAGTGCTATTAAAAATATATATCAAAATCAATTTATTATTTACTTTCATTTATCTCCTTCAAAGAATCAATTCAATGAAAATTTCACAACCAAATATATGAAGGAAACAAATACATTTTAATATGCATCAATTGTACAAACTTATACTATAGAATTTTACAGAGATATAAAATAGCAACATAACTGGAACAGACTATACAATTTTCTAATCAATAAACCTTTTGTCTTTTTTGTTTATATGACCATTTGATAGTTGGGGTAAAGAAGACAGCAATAGGAAATCGAATAAATAGTTCAATCTGATTATACATGTGGATTTCTTGACTACATAATAACTTTAATTCATGATTTCATGGCTAAAAAACCAATTTGTTGTTTTGCAAACACTATAGACCGTACCTGCCTCCATTGCAGTACCAGGACCAAAAAGAACAATTCCCATATAGAACACCTGAATGCAAAAATGTTAATGAATATCACATTTTTTTTTATATATTTAGAAAAGTATTTTGTTAATTTTGAGGGGAAGTTATTCTTCTTTATTCATATTATATATTATGCCGAACATGAAACTACTAAGGTGAAATTGATCCCATACCACTACAGAAGTTTCAATGAGGAATTCGAATACCATTCATTAAACTGTTAACTTGAAACATAAATCATTGTTTAGATGCCATCAAGGTTTATGAGGAAGGACGACTGAAATGCATACTTAAAACATTTTTATGTCACCATCACGAATTAGTTTAAAGCTCAAATCTGAAACGACAAGTTTTCGCGGTCTTTATCCCTTAGACAATAAATACCAAATCAGTCGTCTGATCTATAAAATTGATTGTATCCTATTTCCTATCTTGAATAAAGATATCAAACTTTTCCGTATTTTGTATGATTGGAGTAAGATAAAGTTCTGTATAATCAGAAATTTTAATTTCTGTTTGACATTTTACTACAACATGTACAGGAACCGCATTATAGAATATCGTATTTTTTGTCGGTGGTCAAAGACTTGCAATTATGAATGAAAGCATGAAATTACACTGTTCATAACAGTGACAATTTTAGTGACGGATATTAGAATAGTCTCACTTTAAAATCTAAAATTTAGCTTTTCAATGGATCGTTATTCAGGATATTTAGTTTTCTTTTTTGTTTTAGTTTTCCGTGATTTACCTGAAAAGATATACGAGTAGATTTAAATCGCTATATGTTAAAAGATAAATACGAGTTCCCGTAACAGTGAGTAGAACTTTGTACTTGAAAACATTGTTATTGAGTAGATTTGAAAAAAATGCTTCTGCGAAATTGATGTTTGGGAAGAACTAAAGACTATGATTTTTCATTTTTTATGAATTGTTTTATCCGCTTTGCAAAGTATTGAAAAATCACTGTGTCAACATTTTAATACATGTTTATTGGTAAATACTAAAAGTAATGTAGATTCAGAAATTATTGCGTGCATTTATTATTGCAAATTATGAAGAATGGACAAAAATGCGAGATTAATTATTGCAATTTCAGGAAAATCTGCATACAAATATATGTATCAGATGTAAGAATGCGAGTTCTTATCATTGCGATACTCACCCAGTCGCATTATTCGCATTAATAAAACCTCGCAATAACTTCTGAATTTACAGTAGAAGAATAAACATTTGATCCATGTATCAGTATTTACTAAAGAGATATTATTGGTTTAAAAATAACTTTAATCATTATGAATTCTGAACAATTAACGTATCTTACAATTGAAAATTAAATGTATGTTAAACTTGTAATGTTGGTTCCACAATGTTCTTCAACTTCATACTTCATTTGGCCTTTTCAGCTTTTTGTTTTATTCGAGCGTCACTGATGAGTCTTGTGTAGACGAACGCGCGTCTGGCGTACACAATTTTAATTCTGAGGAGCTTATTTACGACCACTGGGTCGATGCCACTGCTGGTGCAGGTTTCTCCCCGAAGGTATCACCAGCACAGTAGTCAGCACTTATGTGTTGCCATGAATTATCATTGATGTTGTCATAATCATAAATTAACTGTTTACAAAACTTTGAATTTTTCGAAAAACTAAGTATTTTCTATCCCAGGAATAGATTACCTTAGCTGTATTTGACAAAACCTTTCGGAATTTTGAATCCTCAATGCTCTCCAACTTTGTAGTTTATTTGGCCTTTTGAACTTATTTTATTCGAGCGTCACGAATGAGTCTTGTGTAGACGAAACGCGCGTCTTGCGTACAAAATGTTAGTTCTGTTATTTATGATGAGTTTATTGATACATACGTATCTTAACAGCCCGATCGTTGTTCCCAGTAGTCTTACTTCTCTACCTTTATATCTTAATTCAAAATACTGAAATATAAATTTGTACATGAATATTCGATCATTTTTTACTTTGAATTTTGCGCTGAAGGAATCGTACAGCTTCTTTGTTCCGAATGACTTCGACATGAAGCAAGAAGTTCATTGGTATGCGTTTCAATATTTTTTAATGCAATTGTGAACTTTTATGAATTTGACTGATTGCCGGATTTGTACGTATACAAGGAACACTACGGGTGCCACATGTGGAGCAGTATATGCCTTCCCTTCGGGAGCACACGAGATTACATCCGGCTTTTGGTGGGCTCGTGTTGCTCAGTCTTTGGTTCTATACTGTGTTTTGTATAATGGTGTTTGTCTTTTGATCGTTTTTCCTTTTTGTCATGGAATTGTCAGTTCGACTAATAAGTTTAAAAGTCCTTTTGGTATCTTTCGCCTCTCTTTTAGATTTTCATTTAGAAAACAGAAAATGATAAAATGATTTACCTCGAAAACACTCGTTATCCTTAAAGGGTGCACAAGAGGTATAACTATTCTTGTCCCAAGAAGAAGTGCAATCATAACCCCAGCATTTGATAACCAAAACATGATTCCGTAAGAATAAACTTCGCCAGGAAACCCTAACATCATAATCGATGACTCAAAGGATACCATCAAGGACAAGGCAACCGGAAGTATTGACATCTGTCGGTTTCCAACAAGATATTCGGAAGTAGTTTTCTGTTTTCCACCAGAAAAGGCATAATAAATTCCTATTCCTAATGAAATTATAACTGTGACTGCAAAGACTGCATAATCAGCTATCACAAACCCTGGGTGATCAGCTTGCATCTGTAATGAAAATATTTATGATTTATTTCATCAATGATAGCATTTGAGTCTTGTACTTAAATTAAGTTATCACTGTGTTTGCTAATTAGTGAATTGAAGGAGAATCTAATCTCATCGGAGGTTACTTAACCATAAATTTTAACCTAATGAGCATTTTTAAATTTTGATCATTTTGAGAAAGGCAATAGACAATTGAACTAAAAAAAAAAAAAATTCTACTAAAATGAATTGCATACGGTATCAGTTATCATGTTTCACAACAGGTTCATTAGCAATTAACATGTATCATGATTAAAAGTTATAACAGTGAATATATAGATTTAGGTGCATTGTTGAAAAACAACAATTCAACGCAAGTTACACAAAAGCTAGTTTTAGAGGAGGAAACTAGTTGCGCAATCTGAAAATATACAAAACAAAATATGTCTATTGATCAATAAACATCTGCATTTATATAAAATATAAATGTATATTTTACAGCTCATCTAAGTAGATTCCAATAACTACTAAAATGACATTTCGGTTGTTCGTTTTAGGTGCAAAGCGAAATATCAACAGTCTTAGTTGAAAGTTGAAAATCTGACTTTGAGGTCAAAAGTCAAATGGTAGCAACTATAGTACGAGGAAAATCGTCAAATGATGACATACTCGCCTGTCACATATTTCAAGGCTATGTTAAAATATAACACATAACAAAGTTCTGGCCCGGACAAGACTTTATGTAAAAGATGCAAGGATACGACTGTTATTTCACGGGTACAGATCATCTGTCATATAAAAAGTGCAGGTAAACACCCCTTGTTTTGATTCGCCTAGATGCCAAAACCGTGAGTCTGCATCAAAAGAAAGCATAGTTCTAACATAAGTGCGCTCATGTATAAAACAAATATATTTTGACAATCAAGTCTTATCATAATACAACAAATTTCAAAACATCATAATTATGCGTCTAACGATTACAAAGTTTATGTAGGGAATGCCTATATTTAAGATATTTATTTATCTTGAGGTTAAATTTCAAGGTTATATGCTATTCATAAAGAAGTTTTGGCCTACTGTAGTATATGAAACTCTAATTGGAAATCGGTAGCTAGCATATGTGAAAGACATGGTTACATTCAGAAGGAAAGTCAAAATAGGTTGCTACAGGAACAAGGGAGTACTTGAACTCTCGTCCATTATCAAATTCAGTACCCTTCAAGAGCAGCTGAGATCACCCCCAGTTTTTGGTGGGGTTCGTGTTGCTCAGTCTTTAGTTTTCTATGTTGTGTTTTTTGTACTATTGTTTGTCTGTTAGTCTTTTTCTATTTAAGCCATGGCGTTGTCAGTTTATTTTCGACTTGCGAGTTTGAATGTCCCTCTGGTATCTTTTGCCTCTCTTTCAGTAGTAATTTTGCCTTTTTGAACCATGTATGTACAAAACTGAACACATCTATTAGCTGTTGATATAATATCGTTAAGTTCAATTCTTTCAAAATATGCGTTGAGTATTCCTATATATTGCAGTAAGATCTTTGAATAGTGTCTTATCGGTACTTAAACTGATTTATAGTATATTCTACCAGCTATTGCTATCCCTTTATTAACACCTATCACCCTACGTCCTGTCTATACTTATATTTTGGCATTGCACAATATCATGCTTTTCTTTGGCTGTTTATGGCGTCTTTCAACAAAATACGTTGCATATGTACAGATGTTTTAGTCTATGAAAATATGATTCATAAGTTCATTATGAGCTATGAACTAGTATTCAATAACAACGATTTTTTAATTATCGGTACTCTGCGTCTTTTGTCTTTTTATTTGTTTTATTTTATCTGACGAGTCGTTTTGTTCTAAATACCGATCTTATGAGTCAAATATGTGGTAATGAATTATAAAAATGAAAATCGTGATCACGATTTTTTAAATTCGTGATCCTCAAATTGAATATATATATTTTTACAGCTCAAGAATTGGATTTCTTGCTTTCAGCTAAATAAGATATGAATAAGTTTTAATAGCAATTTTGAACTTCCTTTTCTTCTAAAATCTACAACTCACTATGACGAAGTTACGTGATAGTGAATTCGTTGATTTTTAGAGATCTAAATCTAGGTTTAATTATCTTCTAATTGTCGCCCTTATAATTCACATGATTTTACAGCTAGAAAGAAATATGAGTATGATGTCGCCTTCATTTCTAACATTGATAAATTTCTTATTTAAAAAAAAACAACTTTACCTTTCAATGGATTTCTTCTCCTTTTCTTTTTTTTGGGGTAGTAGAAATCTTTAAATATTTTTGGTGTCAAACTCTATCTGAACCGATTCAGTTCAGTAGTTGGTGACAATGATCGTGATTTTAATGCATAAGTTGATATATTTATGCCACATCAGCATCTCGTACGTCAAATAAATACTAATTTATACCAAAAGTGAATTAATTATTCGTGAACGTAACAAATTTTAATCATCAAAACAATCTATACACTATATATCAGTACTTGAAATAAACAATATCTTATATCTAGACATATTTTAACAACTGTAGACAGATAATTTAAGAATACTCCTGTGGCAAAAAGTCCGTTTTTGTTATGTAAATTTTCGAAAATAAATCATCAAAAATTCACAGTTCATATTTGTTAGCTGCTTTTATATCCTATTATTTTCTTACCGTTATCCCATTATTTCTTGTCTTCGTACGAACTCTGACAATTTTTGCCACAATATTGGGTCAATATTTACAAAAGTCGGTCTCTATTTAAAATTTGTTTTCACCATCTTTTAAACAATCATCCGTATTTATTAAAGCGCACACTTGAGCAAGCGTCTCCGTGTAGGGTAATAGATAATTTGCCATGGGATAGTATATAATAACACATAGCTGAGAGTGTGATAGAGCAGATTGTTACCCCGAGAAAACATTGTCAACTGAGGCGAAGCCGAGTTTGACAATGTTTGTTCAAGGGGTTCAAATCTGCTCTATCACCCTCTCAGCTATGTGTTATTTAATTTATCATACTGAATGTTCTTTTATTATTGTCTGTTACTGTTAGATTCTAAATCAAAAGTACTCAACTATGACATCACGTACATAATAACGTTACAGTTATTAGAAAACCAATAGAAGTGAAGCAAGATATATTTGTTTTTTACAGTCTATGAAAACATTCTGAGGCTAAAACGTAGAACTTGGGCATTGTCTTTAATTTATTGATGTAAATTCAATTCATTGTCTTTTAAATTATCGGTTTTTGATTGGTCTGCACGAGAGGGTGATATTAAAAAAATATCTCTCGCTGAGCCATGGGATAGAGTAAATTATTACCCTCTTATTATCCAATCAAAATCTTGCATTTTGACGTGAAGTATGATAAAGTGAATGGTCTCCCTCGTATTAACCAATCAAAATCTGGCATTTTGACATGAAGTATAATAAAAACAATTATCACCTTCAACTACGTCTTACATATTGGTTTTTCTGATAATCTACCATGATTTCCATAAGTAAAGGCAGAAGTATATGTTAGTTTTAATTAAAAAAAAATGAATAATTCATTTTAAAAAATTAAGCATCACAGAATATGTTGTTTATAAAGCTGAATTACTTGATTTATGAACTACACTTGTTCTTTCAGAAATCCTGTGGTATTTAGTTACAGCTTTCTTTTCAGTTGATTTTGAAGTCTGTTCATTTATAATCTTATCTTCAGTAAATGATGTAGGTATGAACGTACTCAAATTTGGGGTTTCAGTTTTAAGTGCTTCAGTATAGTTCTTGCGTCAAACAATGAAAACGTGGATTGCTTCTTGTTCAAAAGATGTAAACAGAAAACTCTTTCAAAGTTATTTAAATTGCAATTTGAAATAGTTTTGTTAGAATGATTTTATATAAACTTACTTTCCAACTGTTCATTACAATCATCGGCAAGATGCATTTTTGTAGAAATAATCCAGTGACTTTTTATTAGTTTTCTCTCTTCAGCACTAATATTTGCACTAAGAAAAAATGAAATCCATGAAGACTACACTTTGCTTCTAGTTTAATATAAGAAAGATGACTGAATATTGATGATGTCCCAGTTTATTATGATTGATACGTTTACTGTGTGATCTTCGACTAAGGTTACTTTTGGGGACCAGGTCCATAATTTCAATAGATGTTTCCTTGTCCTGATATCATTAAGACAATGCATCTGTGTCTTTTTAATTTTACAGAGTGCATCCTATTCCCGATTATGACATTTTGACCAAGTGTAGATCGTGGGGCGGGTGATGGATGCATAGCAGGTGACGCTTAACATGTCAACGCACCTGGTATCGCTCCTATTAAGAGTGCGTGCGATTCCCTAATTTTTTTTTTGTTACTTTGTTGTGTATTTCCGAAATCTATTGACGAGATCATTTTAACATCTGTAAACTACTATTGCCTAAATTAAGACCCGAGGAGATGTCCAATTTCGTGTTTAAAATCAGGGAGAACATGCTATGTTCTCAACTTTAATTTGCCTTTTTTTTCCCAAAGGTTGGTCTTTATTTAAATTTAATTCATGGTTTTGTTTATTAAGATATTGATACACCAAAATAGCATTTTTTGTTATTCCTTGGAAGCGGTACACATTATGTTCTTCCGAAACACTGCTAAAACTAATTTATATCTGCATGCACAAAAATCCAGAAATCTTGTATATCTTAAGGATAAATGATGAACAACTAGAGTCTCAAAAGAATATGTATTAGTCATCTGATATCTCTGAATAATATTGACAAATGTTCCTGCAGATTTTCAACATAAAATGTTGCTTTTTGCAACTAAAAGGAAAGGCCTTTCAAAAGCAGAAAACCCCCTTGGACACGCCATAAAAATATTGAGCATGAGTTTCCATACATCGCTCAAACTGCTTTTTCTGTGTTTTCAACGATAAACCTTTAAAAAAACCGCATATCTCACATGGTAATATATGTTTATTTACAACTAGTTTAACCCCCTATATTGATATAAAATACTTTTGTAACCTCGAAATTGTAATAGGGGAGGGGTTCTCCAAGAAGTTATGACGTAAACTTATCATTAGAACATTTATTTGCAACCATTTGACAATTTGGCCGGTTCTAAATAGGCCCTTTTGAGTTGTATGCTCTCAAACGTTTTATATTTTAGGCTTTCCAAACATTTGGTCACCAGTTTAGGTGATGAAAGTTATTTCATAAACACATGTTATGCGTAAAGAAATTATATCTTTTGCTTTTAACTACTGCTGGGTCGGTTCTCTTCCTGGTGAAATATCAGTATCGCGAGTATCATCCCCCCAGTAGTGAGTACTTCGGTACTTTAAAAAGATTTAAATGATATATTGTGTTTGAAAATGTTCAACTTTTAAAAGCATGTAATAAATTGTGCTTAAACTAAGGAGGTCACTACCTGAGGCAAAGTTGGCGTTCATCGTGAGACAATTTCGGCTTTTCTATTTAGGCCCTTTGTTTTTTGCTATCAAACGTTTGACACTTGTATTAGCTTTCCAAACTTTTGGTCACAAACTTATCTCTAGATGCCTTTTGGTTTTTTCAAGGATTTGTATATTAATCCTTGGTTTTTAGTGTTGTTTGCTTGCTATCTCGTGGACGTATATCCCCATACTCCTTTTGTTCGTACTGATGGAGGTTATTCCAGAAACATTCGTTTTTGTACTTAATCATATCATTTGTTTTACTACCATAAGGTTGGTACAGCTACTGAATAAACTTGTCATAGATACCAGGAATAAAATTGTGTACGCCAGACGTGCGTTTCGTCTACAAAAGACTCATCAGTGTCACTCGAATCAAAAAAGTTAAAATGGCCAAATAAAGTACGAAGTCGAGGAGCATTGAGGACCCAAAAATCCGAAAGGTTTTGATGGACTATCAGTGTCCAAGAGTTCGATACATCCAGTAGCGAGTGTATCGGTACTGGCATGCTTTGAATGATATATAGTGTTTGTAATAACGCTAAAACTATGGTTGCTATTTCCGGAGGCAAAGTAGACCCGAGACGATGTTGACTATTCTTTTAATTTATTAATGAATACGTCATGTAAAAATTAAAGTATAAACAAGTAGGAGGTAATAAGGTAAATAAATAAATAAATACTAGTAGATAAGAAAACAATAGCAGTGCTCTTATATAAATCCATATCCCTAAGTTAAAATTTCAAAACAATATTTGCATGATAATAGGCAGGCGAATATGTATAAAAAACATATAATGAATACAATAAATTAAAATAAAAGAATAATGTGTCTGAGGACACGAATATCCCCTCTCAATCTTGCTTATAATATGTGAAACGGAAGGACGCACGGAAAGACGGAAGGGCAGACAGACAGACGGACGGCCAAGGGGAACACTTAATGCCCCCTTCGCCTAGCGGCGGAGTCATACAAATTCCTAATTGGATGTTGTATACATATTATAAGTCATTTCATGAGGAAGGAGAAAAGTGTTTAGAAATGTCATTCTAGTTATGCCTGTTTGGTTTTTGTTTTTGAATGTTATATATTTTTGACTTTCTAAAATTTTGATCACGACCTTCCTGATGAATGTTATACAAGAATCATGTGCTGAGTGCATGGAAATTGTTCCATTTGTTTTTGATTCAATATAACGATGAAAACCAGTTTTGAAAAACCCTTAAATTTAAAGCATCGAGGATGCTGTAGGCCAGCCAATCTGACTTGAACGTCCATACATGTACATTATTACATACGGTCATGTCTTTGCAAATGTTTTATTCAAATCTATTGTTGGAAGCTCAGATTTGAAGTATTGAATGTGATATGCCTGCGACTTGTTTAAAATGTCCCTTAGTTTGTACAATTTTAGCTAGCAAAATTTGGTTATTTTATTAAATGAAGCATTAATCAACAGTTAAATAAACTTTAGTGGATAGTTTTCTCATTAGAAACCATACCACAGCTCCTCATTTTTATATTGGAAATGTCAACTGTTTTCACTTTGGATAACTGAGATTGAATGTTCACCCTGCAAGCTATCAAAATTTTATTTTTTTAGCCAGTTGGACTATTTTTCCTGTCTCGTTTTTAAAGCCTTTTTGTTAAGGCATTCAAATAGACATCGGAACTCAGGTCAACTGATTTTGTCCAAATAAGACTTATATGTGTTTGGACATTGTTTCTATTAACAACATTATCATTGAACTGTAGTCTGTCAATTGTGTGGAAGTTAGAGAGAGTCATGTTCCCTTAAAAAATAATGACCAGATAGTTACAATTATTTTTTTTAAATTGCTTCGCCGAGCGCAGCTGGATACGACCGCAGAGGTCCAACCCTGAACAGTTGGGGCAAAAATGGACACAATATTCGCGCTTGATAGAGGTCTGAATTTGGATTGTAATTAAATATTTGACACATAATAGGTTTCTGACACAGAATAACTGTAGTCAAAGAACTTAGAATTGGTTATATGATTTGAATTTATATTCAATTTTTTGCTTTTGTGCAATACACTATGCTGTTGCGAATTGAAATCCCCCCCAAAAAAAATTTTGTTTACCCCCCCCCCCCCCTTTTTTTTGCAAAAAAAGAAAAATTTGAAGAAATTTGCTTTTTTAATTTCTGAAATCTGAAATGAGAAAAAATTGTCCCCCCCTCACAATTTCTTTTTTACCCCCTCCCCCCCTTTTTTCCAAGAAAAAAAATTCTTTCCCTCAAGATATGGTCATATCTCAATTCAAATTTCCAATGGAGTTTGCAACCATAATTACCCATTTAAATACATCATAAAAGTCTTAAAATAGAAAATGACATACATAATCATGGCTAAAATTAATATTCCTTAATCAGCATTTTTAAATAGTAACTTCTAAAAATAAATTGACAGCTAATCACCTCAAGACAATATAACATTTCTTTATACATAATTTAAAAGCAATGTAAGGGAGGTAATCCAAACATAACATTGTACTTTTTTTTTAATTGTCCATTAACCAGGAAACCCTTGTTTTCCCCCTTTTTTTTTTGTCCCTAATTCCTAAACGATTTGAGCCATAACCCCCCAAAGCCAATCCTAACCATCCCTTTGTGGTATGGAAACGTGTGGTATAATTTCAGAGAGATCCATACACCGTTCCACAAGTTATTGTCTGGAAACTAGAAAAATGCTTATTTGGGCCTCTTTTTGGCCCCTAATTCCTAAACTGTTAGGACTATAACCCCCAAAATCAATCCCAACCTTCCTTTTGTGGTTATAAACCTTGTGTTTAAATTTCATAGATTTCTATTTACATTTACTAAAGTTATTGTCTGGAAACCAAATGTCTTCGGACGACGACGACGTGATACCAATATACGACCGCAAAAATCATATAAAAACCATCCCTTTCAGCTATAGAAATTATGTGAAAAAAAGTTTTAATTTTCTGCTGCAATTACAACTAAAACAGGATTCCGCTATTGTAGAGATAGAAAAAGTGTTGTGACAAATACACTATTGATATTCTGAACTCGAGCGTCTATGGTAAAATTAATCTGGTTTCTAACCTGAAAAAATTCAGTCATTGTATTCCCCTGTTCTACAATGGCTGTATTTTATCAAATAACATTAAATATTTCCAAGGAGCACTCAGTATTTTGAGAATTTTGTGAAATTTGAGAGTTCCTTTGCTGTAACTAGTTCAACAGTGGGACACACATAGCAAAAATATGATTTGGAACATTATATGGTTGTGCATCAAATACCATCTTTTCATCTTGACAGAGGACTGACACTGAGGACAAAATTGTTATTACATGAATTTTATTTCAGTCCAACAGTCATAATAAGGCTATAAGTAAGTGTTTGTAAAAAAGGATGTCCTATCCTCACTAGCAAGGGCATAAAAAATGTTAAAGCTTTTAAGTTACCCGTATATTTCTTTTGCAATTGTTGCTATATGAACCTTATTCACTATTGAATCTGGTAATGTTTTCTTTACAGTTTCTTGAACATATTTTGTTGAGTATTTGTCAGAAAAATGTATCAGTAATATATTTTCAACATTTTTGAACATATCAGCATTATCAGCAATTTCTTGTAAATGCATATGTCCTCGACCTCTGGCCTTCTGAATTTGATCTTTGCCTGGTTCTTGATCTATGTAGGTGGCCTCAGTTATCAACAGTTTAACTCTGAAGAGATCTTCTGTTGGCGGATTTGTGAAAACATCAAATGTTGTGTCACCTGAAAAAGTTTAGATCAGTTATTAATATGACTGAAAGAACATTGATCTGAACTAACTAAGTTTTTCAATTGTATAGTTTTAATCTTATCCTTATAAAATATAAGCATGGTGTATTGTTATATAGTAAAATATTTCACTATCTTCATTCAACTCAACTGCCGTAAGGATGGAATAAGTAATATTAAAACTCTATTAGGCTTCACAAAAGTCAGGTTTTCAATCCAATCATCATCAGATTTTGTCAATGTATACGTCATTTGTCAATGTATACGTCATTTGTCAATGTATACGTCATTTGAGAATAGTTTACACATATCTAATTGAAAGGTAAGATGACAAAGGTTTATATCTAAAACTAGCATAGGAGATAGTTTGTAGGCAGTTGATTATTATCCAACATTCATCAAACATTTTCTAATAATACTTAGTAATGAGAGAGCTTATATCCAATTTTGATTTCAGGGTGATGGTTCAATGATCAAGCTCAAAGTATGTTTAAGGAAAATAAAAGCTTGCTGATACAGTAGAACGCCAGTCTTGTATTTAATCTTCATTCCATATCATGCAATAATTTTAAACATTAAACATATTATATTTCCAATATTTGCGTCTATGATGAGTTTGGATACTGTAAATTGCTGCTTAAATCTGGGGTGTTGACTTTTAAATTGCTCCTCCATCGGAGTGGCTCTTGCCAAATTCGCTGATATGACACATAATTCTACTGCATTGTTAATCCTTGGTAAAATACAATGCTCCCCATTATCATCCTCTTAGTACAAGACTGTCTTTTGTGGGCACATGATTTTACCAATTGTGTCCAATTCAGGAATGTAACATTTAGACTAAGTGAATTCGCATGGCGGGTGTTGCGTTCTTACCAGGAGACGCTTACTCTGTCGACGCACCAATCTAACTCCTTTTGTGGTTCATGCGATTCTTTAAGTGTTTGTAACCTCGATTTGTCTCTTCTTAATTGATTTACGAGATTTGAACATCCGTAAACTACTGTCGCCTTAATTTACTTCGAAATATTTGTAGAAATTGTAAGTCAATTCTAAATAAATGATTGTTGAAAATAAATTGCATGCCATTTTCTTGATAGATGAAATAGAATATATAGCAATGAACTCTAGAATGATTTTCAATTCGGAACACAAAATATACATGTGTTTTTAAAAGCCAATTTCTTGGGTGTTTGTAGTTGCTCATTTCCCATAAAAGACAAACTTACCCCAAGAGGATTATAATGGAGAGCATCGTAGTTCACCAAAGGGTTATATTAGCCATATCAATAGTAGTTGTAGTGTGTGTCATATCAGAGGTGTTGGCAAGAGTAAATCTGAGGGTGGAGCAATTGAAAAGTATACATTAAGTCACCAACACAGATTATTGAATGAGATATTGAGATTCTTATGTAGCACATGCATTTCTATTTTAGAAATGTTCTATCATTATCCTATATGTATGGTACTCTTCATTGGCACGTCTATTTAGAACAGCTCTCAAAGAATCAATATAATTAAAGCTTTATTGCAAACACTTATTCAGACAACTTCGCAGTTAAATAATGAAAATTTTTGAACGCAACACTGGAGAATTGTTGGGCTCTAGGTGTTATTTACTTATTGCAGATGCATTGATGTCATCAAAACTGAATACGAAAAAGATGCATTTCGATTAAGGACTGAAAAAAAATATTTTCCAATCTTTTTCAGATGAACTGACGCTAAGTTATCTAACCTGTATATGCTAGTTCTGGTACATCATATTCATCATGAATCTGTACTCCACTTTTGACCAACTGTGCTATCTCCTGACTAGGCTTTCCAACAAATTCTTCCTTTAAATTCTTAACATTCTGGTACATCATATAACCCTGGCTTGGACAACGATGTGTTGTTGGAAAAGGTTTTATTTTAAGACCACTTGGCAGCTGTAAATAAGGAACCTTTTCATTACAAGAGTACACACGCTGAAATGTCTCGCCTGCTTTACTTATTGAATTTATGTTGATGGTCTGTAATATGAAGGTTTTACTACAAGTATCACCTAAAATTTACATTATCAATGTTGTATGAAAATGAGGTCATGGTCAGATGAACCATACCAGACAGACATGCACTCATTACAATCATACACATACATCAAATATAGCGGTCTTATGGCTAATAGTACCTTAGGAACAGATCAAACCACAAAATCTTAACATTGACCAATGAACCATGAAAGTAAGGTCAAGGTAATATGAACCCTGCCAGACGGACATGAACACCTTACAATCATTCAAATACATCAAATATAGTTTACTACTGCTAATAGTATCTGATAAACTGAAAAAACCATGAAAACTTATCATTGACCAATAGAACATCAAAATGAGGTCAAAGTCAAATGAAACCTGCCAGACAGACGCGTACACTTTACAATCATCACATTGTAGTATCTGAGAAATAGACCAAGCCACAAAAATTAACATTGTCCAATAAACCATGAAAATGAGGTCAAGGTCAGATGAAACCTGCCAGACGGATATGTACACCTTACAATTATTCGATACACCAAATATAGTTGACCTATTGCTTATAGTATCTGAGATACAGACTTAACCTTATTCAGGGATCCATGAAATGAGGTCGAGGTCATGTAGACTTTTCAAGAAACCCATATACCAAATATACTTGAGTATTTCTCAACAAAACAAAAAAAAACGGTATTTTTTTCCCCAAGCAGTCACTGAACCATGAAAATGAGATCAAGGACAAAGGCCATATGACAGACGGAAACGTAATAACATAAGGTATCTGCATACAAAGTTAGAAGTATCCAGGTCTTCCACCCTCTAAAATATAAAGCTTTATACAATTAGTTAACACCGTCGCCGCCAGATTGTAATTCCTATATATCGCATACTGCTACTTTTGTCGCAGGCGAAACAAAAACTAACTTTCTTTCTGCATATTTATGTCATTAATAAAAATAAAATTCATTACAGTGAAAATTACTTACATCTTGTGTAAATTTCTATGTTATGATAATCAAGACCACGTGCTTGGTATTTCTAATTATATTTATGAATGAAGACAAACACTAAAGATAGGTATCTACTTTTGAGTTACCATGATTCATGTTTCCCATTCTAAAAATACATTTGTGAAAGAATAAACAAAATATCTTTTCTTGATAAATAGCCGAAATTCTGGCAAAATTTGTCTGAATATTAAGATTCCAGATTTTTTTAAATGATAGTATATATCCAGACTACGACAGCAATGATTACTTTAAATCAGATAAAGTAAGTGTGCCAATTTATAGTGAAATCATAATTGGATAATTACTAAAATGTCAAATTATTGATTACTGAACAAACTCTTTAAAAATACATCTAGAAACATTATAATATTTGTTTAACGAGAATATACTTTTACTCTTTGGAAAAAGCTGTGAATTCGACCATAGATATAATAGCCATAATAATGGCTATTATATCTGTGGTTCGACATTGTAAAAGTTGTATATCTACATGTTCTATGGAAAATGTAGATGTTAAAATTCTGAAAATGTTCTTGTTAATGCTGATTCTGCATAAAAAGGTAACTAAATCCAACAATTTGAAAGAACAGTGATGAAATTTGATAATTATTTGTCACACCACTTTTTCAAAAATGACTTCAAAAAATTGCTCAATTTTCGTCTACAAAGACCGGGTATTTAGCTAAAAGAGTCACAATCTTTCTCAATTTACCAACAAAATTGCTGATTTTTTTGTATATTGGTAGGAAAATGGCAAAAGTTTACCTTTTTTTTTTAATAAATCGAAGACCTACAAATGATATTTCTCTAATTGTGAGGAGATAAAAATATTACAACCTTATTTCAATTAGAAATGACCCTTTAATCATTTTTGCGCCATATATTTGACACGTACATTTATAACTTCTCCCACTGGAGCTGGAATTATATTCATCTTTTCCAGTTCCGGAATATTCCCTGCAATACTGCCATACATCTTGCATAGTGAGTTAAGTGGTTCTACTAAATGGACAGGAGAGTAGTATTTAGCTGGCTTCATACCATATAATGACCTTTTTGCTGCATGTTGTGCAATACCAGATATATGATCCATGTGACCATGACTGTAAAATATGTATAATTAACTTTAGTCATGGATGAGAAAATAAGTATACTGACGGACTTAATTTGGTGATTGTTTTTACCAAACCATGATTAATCTTCTTATAACTGCTATTCGTGCTTACCGTACTTCTTTCTGTTTAGAAAAATTCAATACCTCCCTTGAGGTAATTGAACATTCCGGATTATTGATGTCGCACGAATTTATTAAACCGATATTTGAAACCGATGAATAGTTCCTTTTAAAGTTTTTTCCTTCGTGAAACATTTCTTTCAATCCATACCAACACTTTAATCAGTAAATACATGTTGCATTTCCACATTACCGCAATGAAAATCTGAATCAGGCCATAAGAATATTGCAGGCAGGAATACGTGAACATGCTTTTGCTAGACAATTTCAAATCAGAATCTATTCTTACTGTCCTTACAACAACGGTACAGGCAGACGGGATTTGTTGATGACCAGCCATGACCAGATCAATATGTAATAACGCTTCGTCAAAAATATTATAACGCAACGTCATTTGCGAGACATGCTTACGGCCGACTGTTTATCAAGTCGTTGAAAGTCAAGGCAGACACAACCACGCCATAAATGTTTCCCATATACTGAAATGCCAAAGAATCGACTGATGAAAAACGTTTGAAGCCTTAAAGTTTAAACTGCATGATTACCAAAACACACTGTAATGGGTGGGACAAAGGCAAAATCAGAATTTACAAAACAGAACTCAATATATGCCCAACAGAACTAATTGACCTTTCAGTCAATAATTTAGTCGTTAGGTTACGAGCAGTCATTGACTCGACGGTCTCACAACCATTGATAACTAATTTAATTTTGGATGTAACACTTCTTCTGATTGGCTGTAAGTTTTTTGTCTATCAGCTCATAGGCATAATTTTGTCACGTGAACGTGACGTCATCAACTTTTTTTTCATAATTTACTCCTTAAAATGGAATTTAAAATTAAATTATAAGGAATAACTGTAATATTTTTTTCTGTCTATTCGAAATAACCTCAAAAATGTGGTGCACACTTTTTAAATAACCCGCTACGCGGGTTATTCAGTGTGCACCCCATTTTTATGTTAATAGTATTTCTTCATAGACAGAAAAAATATTACAGTCATTCCATAAGGGGAAAACCAGGGTTTCAGTGCATACCACACGATTTGAACTATAAACATGACGTAATCAAACAATGAAGTAATGAATGAAATTCGTGTTTATACATTTATTTTACAAGAATTGCATATTTGAAAATGAGAATTAAAAAGAATAATCTAGTGTTGTTTTTTGAAAGTCCGTCAGTATATAAACTGATTGGTCTTAAATATAACTAGAGGCTCTCAAGAGCCTGTGTCGCTCACCTGTATTTACTGATGCTTTGGAAATCATGTAAAATAAGGTTAAAATCATAATTAATAGTATAAGATATTAGATATTATAATGATATCTAAGATAATAACAAACTAGAGGCTCTCAAGAGCCTGTGTCGCTCGATCACCTGTATTTACTGATGCTTTGGAAATCATGTAAAATAAGGTTAAAATCATAATTAATAGTATTAGATATTAGATATTATAATGATATCTAAGATAATAACAAAAAACTGCAAAATTTTTGTAAAATTACTAACTCAGGGGCAGCAACCCATCAACGGTTTGTCGGATTCGTCTGAAAATTTCAGGGCAGATAAATCTAAATCTGATGAACATTTTTGCCACCTGTCAGATTTGCTCTAAATGCTTTAGTTTCAGAGATATAAACCAAAAACTGCATTTTACCCCTATGTTCTATTTTTAACCAAGTCGGCCATGATGGTTGGAAGGCTGGGTCATCGGACAATTTTTTTAAACTAGATACCCTAATAATGATTATGGCCAAGTATGGTTAAATTTGTCTCAGTAGTTTCAGAGAAGAAGATTTTTGTAAAAGATTACAAAAATTTACAAAAAATTGTTAAAAATTGACTATTAAGGGCAATAACTCCTAAAGGGGTCGACTGACAATTTTGGTCAAGTTGACTTATTTGTAGTCCTTACTTTGCTGAACATTATTGCTGTTTAAAGTTTATCTCTATCTATAATAATATTCAAGATAATAACCAAAAACTGCAAAATTTCCTTAAAATTACCAATTCAGGGGCAGCAACCCAACAACAGGTTGTCAGATTTGTCTGAAAATTTCAGGGCAGATAGATCTTGACCTGATAATCAGTTTTACCCTATGTCAGATTTACTCTAAATGCTTTGGTTTCAGAGATATAAGCCAAAATCTACATTTTACCCCTATGTTCTATTTTTAGCCATGGCGGCCATCTTGGTTGGTTGGCAGGGTCATCGGACACATTTTTTAAACTAGATACCCTAATGATGACTGTGGCCAAGTTTGGTTAAATTTGGCCCAGTGGTTTCAGAGGAGAAGATTTTTGTAAAAAGCTAACGACGACGGACGACGACGACGACGACGCCGACGACGGACGACGGACGACGGACGCCAAGTGATGAGAAAAGTTCACTTGGCCCTTCGGGCCAGGTGAGCTAAAAATAAGGAAAGTGGTTTAACTACAAATGAGACAACTTTCCACCCGAGTCCAAATGGTGTGGATGTAAGGAACTATTATTGGTAACCGTATGAATCCCGAGTCCGTTCGCCTTAATTCACGTTCGCCCTTGGTCTGTTTGGCTTGATTTTTATTTCATTTTGTTGTCTTTTTGTATAATGCAAATTATTGGAATAGAGTATGTTATAAAAGTTTAATATAAATTTCGTCGATTTTTTATTTTGTACTGCTGCAACCACATGATCATTTTCCTTTGATTTCCACTGTAGAGAACAGGAATACAAGGTATTTAATATAAAACAACTGTCCAAGTTAGCTGTATGTATCTATCTTTATAAAAAGTTTCCCTTTTGATGTTTTACAATTCGTAACTTATTGCTTTTACTCGCTACTAGCTGACTTTTTTTTAATTTTAAAAATGTTATTTTCATTATTACGGTACGAGATAACTATAATTCATTTGTGTTTAATAACTCATCAGAGAAACCAGGCTTATCATTTTGTAACATTGTAAGAAGAGAATTTCTAAATGATTAAAGATGGCAATTTTTAAGGATTTCAACATAGTTTTGAGAGTTAAGTAATAACGTTCTATCGGAAGTCGTAGCTGTGTATTGTTTTTCACATACAAATTAATAGTAATTAATTTTGATAACACGGTCATGACATAGGCAAAATCTCTTTGTTCTTACTGTGCTATAATCTGGATAATGCACAGCTAAGGTGTGCATTAACTACCTCAGATATAGCGCACAGTTCAAAGGTACTCTTACCTTTAGGGGTGGATCCATGATTTTTTTCAAAAGCGTGTAATTCCATAAAATAGAAGAAATACCGCCGAGTGTAGCGTTTTTATGCTAAAGCATGATATATTTTCCAATCAAAGTCTGGTCGCCCTCTTCGCCCCCTCCTCGAATCCACTGACCTTGCAGTTAAGACATAGTTGATCAGTTAAAGATTGAAAAGTGAAACTTTTTTTTCTGTTTACTTTGCACTATCAATTTAGGTACAGCTCTCCTCGATTCATCTTCCTCTGAGCATAATCTTGACGGAAAGAAAAGCAATTAATCTATACTCAATAACCCTTTCAGTTATAAATTGTCATAGACCATTTTGAAAGTACATCAAACAGAACTAAAACTGTAGATGTGGGTTATACGTCAATAAGACAGCAATCAAACGGCAAAAACAACCTTGGTAAATCCAGAGGGCAACATATAGTTTTCGACAAAAGATAGGTGTCTACACAATATGTCAAGTTCTAAATCGTCACGAATTAATTTAATAAAATGCTCCGCTGGGGCGCAGCTTGATATGACCGCAGAGGTCTAACCCTGAACAGTTGGGGCAAGTATGGACACAACATTCAAGCTTGACACAGCACTGAATTTGGATTGTAATTAAATATTTGACACAGCAATGGTTTCTGACACAGAATGAATGTGGTCTAAGAACTTAAAATTTTTAATTTACCCTATTCAAACCATATTATTATGATTTGCTTTTATATATAAATCAGATATAACCAATTTAAAATGGAAAATTTGAAAGAAAAAAAAGGAAAAAAAATCCCCCCTCAAATTTTTTGAACCCCCTTATGATTCATCACCCCCAAACTCAATCCCAGCCTTCCCTTTGTGGTATGGTACCTTGCAGTACAATTTCAGAGAGATCCGAACACTTGAACACAAGTTATTGTCTGGAAACTAGAAAAATGCTTGTTTTTTGCCCCTTTTTTGCCCCAAATTCCTAAACGTTTAGGGCAATTACCCCCAAACTCAAACCCAGCTTTCCCTTTGTGATATGGAACCTTGCAGTACAATTTCATAAACATCCATACACTTACACACAAGTTATTGTCCTGAAACTAGAAAAATGCTTGTTTTTTTTTTGCCCCTTTTTGGCCCCTAATTCCTGAAATTTTGAGGCAATTACCCCCAAAGTCAATCCCAGCCTTCTCTTTTTGGTATGGTACCTTGCAGTACAATTTCAGAGAGATCCGAACACTTGAACACAAGTTATTGTCTGGAAACTAGAAAAATGCTTGTTTTTTTTTCCCTTTTTTGCCCCAAATTCCTAAACGTTTAGGGCAATAACCCCCAAACTCAAACCCAGCTTTCCCTTTGTGATATGGAACCTTGCAGTACAATTTCATAAAGATCCATACACTTACACACAAGTTATTGTCCTGAAACTAGAAAAATGCTTGGGTTTTTTTTTGCCCCTTTTTGCCCCTAATTCCTAAAATTTAGAGGAAATTACCCCCAAAATCAATCCCAGCCTTCTCTTTGTGGTATTGTACCTTGAAGTACAATTTCAGAGAGATCCATACACTTGAACACAAGTTATTGTCTGGAAACTAGAAAAATGCTTAATTTTGGCCCCTTCTTGGCCCCTTATTCCTAAACGTTATTGGCAATTACCCCCAA